CTCAGGCATGAAAATGTGCCACTCAAACACTATACTTTTCCGCTCACACTGAAAAAAAATTAGAGGGAACATTGCTGCAGGACATGAGCGAGGGCAATGCAGGCCCTAAGCCACCCACCAATGGTAGACAGACACCTTCCTGCCCTGAGATGACAGCTGGAAGGAAATGAAGAGTGACTCAGAACGCCGGAAACTGGGAGTACGCTTGATGTATCTGCGGAGCGCCCTGTGTACATCCAGCTTGTGCCAGCATTTCTCACGCGGATGTCTGGGATGCGGACAGAAGTCAGGAAGGATGACCTCCTGAGCTCGGTGGAACCAGGAATTAATCTTAGGAATGAAGGATGGGTCCAGTCTGAGGATCACTCTGTCTTGTTGAATCAGGCACAAGTCCTCACAAACAGACAAGGCAGCCAGCTCAGAAATACGCCTAGCAGAAGTGATGGCAATGAGAAAGGCGGTTTTAAACGTCAAATGCTTCATGCTGGCTGTCCGAAGGGGCTTGAACGGAGGCTCGACAAGGGCACGTAAGACCACGGTAAGGTCCCAGGTCGGATATCTGTGAATCGCCAGGGGACTCAGGCTAGCAGCCCCCCTGAGGAAACTGCGGATGGTGGGATGACATCCCAGAGAAACCTACCGTCGGGAGCCAGGGTGATGGAAAGCACCACCACTGATGGCGGAGAATGTTAGGCACCAAACCTTTGTCAAGGACGTCTTGCAGGAAGTCCAGAATGACCGGAACTGAAGCTGAGGGAGCCAAAACACCATGAGTAGAAGCCCTCCAGGTAGCGTCGTAGATCTGAGTCGTGGAAGGGCGCCGTGACGTCTGGATGGTACAGATCACCTTGGTGGAAAGGTTGTCCTTGCTCAGGAGATCCCTCTCAAGTGCCAGACGGCTAGTTGTAGCCACTGGGGCTCCGGATGTTGAAGGCACCCCTGACTGAGAGAGATCTCTTTGTGGTGGAATCCGCCATGGATTTTCGACAGAGAGACTCACCAGGTCTGTGAACCAGGTCCTCCTGGGCCAGAAGGGAGCCACCAGCAGGATGTCCGCTGCCTCCGCCAGGATCTTCCGGATGACCAGGGGAAGAAGAGGTAACAGTGGGAAGGCGTAGGCAGCTCCTGTGGCCAAGGGCATTGCAGGGCATTGACTCCCTTGGCCCTTGGGTTGTGAAATCTTGTGAAAAACCTGGGAAGGTGCGAGTTGGCCATCGTGGCGAACAGGTCTACCTGTGGGCAACCGAACTTCTGAACTATGCACTGGAAGAGCTGCAGATGTAGGCACCACTCCAAGTGGTCGACTGTGGCTCTGCTCAGCCAGTCCGCTTGGGTGTTGGTTGTGCCGGAGATGTGCTCTGCCTGTATGGACAGAAGACGCTCCTCCGCCCACTGACCTAGGTCGTTGGCCTCGGACATCAGGACCTGGAGCGCATGCCCCCTTGGCAGTTGATGTGCGCCTTCATCGCGACATTGTCCGTCAACACCCTCACGTGATGTCCCCGAATACCAACCTGAAAACGAATCAGGGCCAATCGGACCGCTCTCAGCTCCAGCCAGTTGATGCTGTGGGATGCTTCGGCTGTGGACCACCTGCCCTGAGCAAGCTGCCCCAACCGTACAGGCTGGCATCCGTCATGATGGTGAGCCGGGTCAGCTTCTTGAACGGGGATCCCTTCGTCAAGGCTGGGGACAAACACCACCTGAGCGAATGATGCACTTTCATGGAGACCGGGATGAGCCTCGGCGAGCTGCTCTCGTTGGCCCGTTGGTAAGGGAACAGGAGCCACTGGAGGGGGCGAGAATGAAGTCATGCCCACGGGATGATGGACAGACACGAAATCATCTTGCCTAGGAGCTGTGACAGCTGAATGACCTTTGCTTGGGGAGACCGCTGCACCTGCATGACCCTCTCCCTGAGGCTCGCCATCCGCTCCGGTGATAAGAAGACCTGGCAGGTGACGGTGTCGATGACAGCCCCTAGATGTTGCAGCTGGCTGTTGGATGAAGGTGACTCTTCTCCAAGTTGATGGAAAAACCATGAGTTTGAAGTACCTGCATTGTGTACTGTAGGTCCCGGACCGCCTGCTGAGGGGATGATGACTGGATGAGAACATCGTCCAGGTAGCAGTGCAGCCTCACTGGATGGGATCTGAGGAAGGTCACCACTGCTGCGAGGATCTTTGTAAACGTCCTGGGAGCCGATGACAGGCCAAACGGCAGGGCCCGATACTGGTAGTGCTGACCGGCGTAGGTAAACCTCAGGTACCGGCCCTCCTCCTCACTATCCAAAATAGGCTGTGCTTGAGTTGGTGGAACCTCCATGGAGGGCTCCTCAGGAATCACCGAATGAGAGGTTTGTGCCTGGTGCTGGGCCTTGGAGAACTGCTTTTCAAGGGCCTTCTGGCGACGCAATGCGTCCTTGTCTGGGCCCGATCCCTGCTTAAGCCTGGGCCTGGAGTACAGTTTAGAGCCCCTGATGGCCTCCCTGGCAGCCATGCCTGCCTGCCTGGAGAAAGCCCTGGATGAGCCCCCTATTTGGTTGGGGTCTTCTGGTACCTGATCAGCCATGTGATAACGTTGGACCTAGCTAATGAAATAGAGACTACCTCCACTCACCACCTTGCAAAAGCCCTTCGCAGACCAAAAAACGCTCGAAGAGAGACGTAGAAGGTTGCAGCACCAAATTCCAGTCACCTGGTAATATGCACGAGCGTTAACTGCTCCCAGCGCTTGCAGAATCAATAGGTCTGTGACCGGTAGGCCCCAATCCTTACCGCTCTAGTAATATAGAAACAGGCCAAATTGCCAGCCAGAAGGCACCGCGCAGCTCCTGCCATGAGTCAGGCTGCAGGCAGCTGCGGCACACGGTTGAAAGTGAAAATCAAAACTGCAAGTGGCTTCAAAATGGCAGCCGGAACTTTCTGATGCTATTTAAAGCTTGCCACCAAGTCTATCAAGAGCCCTGAGGGGCCGCATCGCACGCCGGCCTCCAGGAGGCACAGACGGCAGCAAAGGAGCCTCAGTGGGGAAATTTGCCCCCACAGCGGGGTTTGTGGCAGCGCTGGCATCGGAACTCCGACCCGCATGCTTCCCCAACAGCTGCCTGTGTCCCTACTGGCACCTGGGTAGCAAGCAGGACGCCGGGGGGACAAGGAATGAGAATCAGATGGTAAATCACTGGGAGAAATAATATCTCACTAAGCCTGCTCACATCTCAAATCCAAACTACTTACAATTTAAGCTTAAAGAGAGTCCAAGCAAAACTGTTAGAATGAAGAGAAACTCTAAGTGCGTCCACTGGGCTAGCTGAATTGAAAAAAACTGAAGATAAGCAGCACCAGGCGTGGCTTAAAGTTTCAATTCAGTTCTGGGCAGTTTGGCTGTATTTAACCCTTGCTTGGACACTCCTGAGCAGCGCCCTGGAAAAAATGAATAGTAGAAAGTGTGGCAGGCCTGAAGTCCAAAATGAAAAGATGGCTTGCAGGCCCGAAACCTCCATTAGAGACACCATGGCAAAATATCAATAATGATGTAAAGATACTATATTTTAAAGCTAATAAAACTATGTATATAATTTTTTATGATATATAGTTATTATCACAACAATTTGGGCATAGAACGCAGCAAGCAGTTTCCCACCACCAAAATGGCAGAACCTATCTCTCTATACACAAACAATACTTTTGAACTGCTAGGTGGGCAGGAGCTGGGGACAAAAGACCATGTCCTGTGGAGCTGGACTCAAACTGCCAGAGTGCTGGTAATTGTTCAGTACATCCAGCATCATTAAGCCTTTATGCCACTATGTCCCCTTTTGGGGCAAATAATCATCTTCTATCAGAACTTCAACTTAACATATTATTTTAGGAGAAGGAATTTAAGAAATATAAAAAGAATTACAGAATTAATATATTAGCACATGCAGGCATGTAGTTATTGAAAGACAATACCCAGAAAACACTCCACCTCTGCCAATTCTCAATCAATGCTTTGTCAAAGATCACAACAGATATGCCTTAAATTTTAGAATATTGTTTGTAACTAGGGTTTCCTACTTTTATCTGAAGCAACAACATACTGCTGACATGCCTTTTCAGAACAACTCCAAACCAACAACACTTGAGATAGTATTACAGAATTTGGAAGAGGTGTTAAAGCATACGAAGAAACTAAGAAAACATGTAACTAGCTGCTGAAACAACTCAACTGAGACTTACATATTGGATGAAAAATGATGAATTTAAAATATAGTGAAATTCATACTGTCAATAAAGAACAATTTTATTTTAATATAATTATAGAAAAATTGCTTACTGTTGGGATTGAGGTTGTACAGCTCACTCTTCTCAGACGCCTTTGCATAAGATCATGTTCCATATTATTTACGTCAGCTTTAAGTTTCTCAAGTTCCTCATTCTCAAAGTTCAGCTCCTTTGCTAACCTCTCCATCCTTGCACGTTGATGTAACAGCAAAGCTAGTGCATTATAGAGAATAATATGCATAAAATTAAGAAATCCAACTTCTAACTACAGAAGTATAAACAAATGATCTTTTCAAAAACAGAAGCAAATATAAATATGCAATCAAATGCTAAGGTACAAATCATAAAAAAGGAACAAGAGCTATAGACGTTATATTCTTCCATTAGGAAGTTCATTACTTTATATAATCATGAAGATAAGTAATCTTCACTTAATGCTAATTGGGACCTGAATTTTGATCACTAAGCAATGCAGTGTAAAGTGTGACATCACATGACTTTTTGCTTACTGATAGCAGTTCCAAAAGTCACCAGTTAAACAAATCACTATGAATTATTAAGTGAGGGCTTTCCCTGACTGTGAATTAAGATATCCTATTGGCTTTCTCATTGATTTTGCTTGTGGAAAACCATAAAGGAAAATTGCAAATCACAATCACATGATTGAAGGATGCTGCAATGGTTAGAAATATAGCTGGTTGCCAAGCACTCACATCACAACCACATTAACGCAGGAGCATGGCAACAGCTAGAACTTGGAGGACTTGTCATAAGTACTAACTGTTCAAAACCATCATAAGTTTGATTGCTGAAAAAATGGTTGTTAATCAAGAGCCACCTGTATTATCAGTTCAGGGACCTGACTCATTTTTGTTCACTAGCCCTTCACTAATAAAGAACTAGCTGTACATGAAGAAACCTTAGTTGATGAACTGCAATGTAGTCTGAAGTACTCGTCAGCCTCTGCTTTGCTGCTTGCTTTTAGGCTGCCATTGAAACGGGGAGGGAGGGCATGGTATTTGGGGAGGGAAACATTCTG